TTTGACTGCTCAATAAGTACTTACTTTCATCAATCTTAGTGATCAAAAAGAAACCTAATGAGGAAAAGGATTTTTAGAGCCTTCTTTATCTTTAGATTGTACCATACAGGAAAATGAAAATCTCTTCCTATTTTAATGTCGTTAAGAAAACAGGCTTCTATAATTTTTCTTAGTAAACATGCATGAAATATATGATAAAATTGGGGGAAATAAACGTAAAGGTTAATATTACAGATGTAACTTATGTTCCCTTGTTTTCATTCTGTATCTCTCTTTCAAAAATGCGAATCTAAGAATGTTAATAGTTGTATTGTTATCTCTATTTTACAGATGAAGAAACAGGCTCAAGAGGTTAAGTAGATCTTCTAAAGCCACACAACTCTTGAGTGGCAGAGCTGGAATCTAAATTTAGGCAGTTTGATTCTGTAACTCCAGCTCTTAATTACCATTGCTATATTGGTGCCATCTCTCCTGCTTACAACCATTCAAGGAGCTGGCTGTTCAAGGTTCTCGTCCTTAGAATAAAGTCCAACTCTTTAACACCACCCTTTTGTTCATACGTGATCTGGCCACAGCCTACATTCCTGTGCCTTCTCTCTCCCTCCCCTCCCTCCCTCCGTTTCTCCCTCTCTCCCCTTCCCCTCCACATTCCCGCTCCCTCCCTCTCTCTCCTTCCCACCCTCCCTCTTTTTCCTGTTTCTTTCTTGCTCTTCTCTTTTGAGTTTTTTTTTTTTTGGTGATTCTAATTTGCCACACTAGCTTGCTCCAAGGCCTTTGCACATGCTCTCCTCTCTCTGAGAGACCCTTATTCTACCTCTGTACCCTTTCTTTTCCTTCTCCTTTCACATCTGGAAAGTTTTACTAGACTTAAGTCCTTCCTATTTGTTTCCCTCTGCTTTGTCCCACTGAGTTCTGTGAGAACAGAAACTACCTTTTATCTCATTTGTTCTTCAGTAACTAAAAGGGTTCTTAGAGGTACTTGTTGAATGAATTTTTGCCAAGCTGATTACCAAATGATGTTTGTAACTTCCCTCGACATGTATATACACATGTACTCATTCTGTGTGTTAAATAACAATTAAATGATTATTGCTAGTTCTGGTGTATGTATGTTACATAAATGTATATTAATGCATACATCTATTTTTACACAAAATCTATTTTGCAATGATTTTCCAGCATTTCTTAGTAGCTTTCAATGGTGAAAATGCATTAACTTATGAACACTTAGATCCTGTCAAGGTTTTAAAGTTAACTTAAAATCTTCAGTCATATCATTAAAAGTTTTATATGAAACATTTTCAAAAATTATGATTTAAAATCACAACTAAAGGAATAGAGCAGTAATAAGAGAGGGAAAATACTGGTAAAATTTGCCGATATACTATGTTGTGAAGGAACAGAAAATAACTTTTAGAATCAAAAAGGTATCTTATTGGTTAGTGATCATGTAAAATGTTTTAATAATCAGAAAAATACTGTTTTTAGGATTTAGTATAAAATGTTATCTATATGTGATCATTTGAAATTCACTGAATTACAAGAGACTTTTTCAATAGGACATTAAGAGAACTGAACTGTCAAAAGTGGTATATATGAAAGGTATTAATATCCTATCAGACGCTACATGTAAATTCAGTGACAATGTTAATGTTTTTCTGCATTCTGAAAATAGCCTTAGTTATATTGGTGTTAAATTAACCTATGTAGTTTAACTGGCAGACACTTGTGCCTTTCCATTTTCACAGCTACATACTTTGTCTCTAACATCCTTTGCTTTATGCCTGCTTACTTCATTAATTTTCCATATTGTATTTGGCTCCTATACCTGAGCATACAGTGATTAGACTCTTCAGCCTTGCTAGAAGGCTTTCTTCCATTATTAACACCCATTTCAACAATCATGTTTTTTATTCCCTCCACAGACCTTTCACACTCATTTGCCAAATACTGGTTTCTAATCCTGGGTTCAAGGTTATTTTGTTTGCTATTGTGTATCCTTTACTTTGTTTGGACTCCATCTCCCATTTCACCTCATTATTTTGTGCTTTGGTTTATATTTCATCAGTTTTATACTTATCCATTGAGTATTTGTCCTCGGTAAGATTATAGGCAAGGATAATATTTTCAAAGTCTTACATATCTCTACAAAATACCTAGTGTAAGTGTTAAGACTTTAGGTTAAAGTATGTCAGAAAATACAATATGTGCTATATTTAAAAACATTTAGAAAAAAATCATTCTATAAGTTCCCTTGGTAACTCATTCTAATAAAGTAGCGAATGAAATTATTTATGTTTATCCTGAGTCCATGGTGTTGGTTATTCTAAAAAAAAAAAAAAATCTATTTCCCTGTGTAGTGATAGAGAATAACCGATTTATCAGTTCTTCAGTTAATAAATGATAGTCCTTTATGCATGTGACAACATGTGACTTTCTTCCATATATTCCCTATTTTCTAAAAAAAGAATCTAATTATGTGCATTTAAACTGATTTTTTACATAAGGTCTGTAAGCAAATTGTTAGTCCATTCAAATATATCATTATGGGAAAAATAGTTATATGACTTTTTTGTGCTCTCATAATAAAGAAGAAATCTTACATACCCTACCTTCTCTTGCTATATTTTTCCGAAGAAGTCACATACAGTCTTGTATATAATTCTTAATTTCAGTGGTCCATGACAAAGCGAATTTAAATGACAGGATTTAATAGGCTCCATCTCCCTTGATGCTAGGCTGAGGTTTAACTGATTATCTTTCAACCTAGCATTAGTTATATGCCATTCTCCAGTTCATTAGCAATGCAGGAGGACTAAGGGTTTAGTGAATTGCGTATAAGCAGAAGCTGTCTCTATTCTAAGTGGAGAAACCACATGTTTAAAGACCATATGAGATAGTAAGCTTTGTGTAATAAATACTTTAAATGTAAATTAGAATCCTACTAATCGTTTTATGATGTAGTTCTTTAGAAAGTAAAAACATCTTACAAGACCATTGTCTTATTATTTTTTGGTTTAAAGTCCTCACTAGCTGATGGGCATGGTACTTTCATTACTATTTTTGTCATGTTATAGTGGACTTTATTTGTGTAAAATAAGTATGCTACAGTTACTGTGCCTTAAAGTGCATGCAATTGAGCCCTTAAATTTTATTTCTTTGAAGTGTAAAAATCTACGTTAGTCTTTGTTAAAAAGTCCTTATGTGTGCAGTGATCTTTGATGACGTACATTGTGACATTTTTTTTTGCTGTTTATTTTGCATTTGGTGGTTTAAGGCTTAGAATTTTGGTTCTTTAACTCATTCGTTTTTTTGATTTTCATACTTATAGAGTACGTTTGAGGAGATTGTGTATTTTTACGTGGGCATAATAATTTAGAGAATGAAATGAAGAAATATTAAGTATATTGATGAGGTCAGCTACCTTTTGAAATAAGCTGAAATTGTTTGCTTTAAATATATGGGAATTTGGCAAGATCTAAATTCCAGCACAATGACTTGTGTCACTTTGTTGTAAATCAGGAAGCTGAAATATAATTGGTTATAATTATACCTGGGCTGGAGAAAGACTGTTGCCAGAGGAAAGTTATACATTATCGGACCTGGGCATAAAGGGGTATCTGGGAATGCAAGTTTATCAGTGTTTACCCAGCACTGTCTCAAGAAGAAAGAGTGACTAAACCTGATAGTAGTAAAATCGGTCATTTAGAGAAACATTTGCTGTGTTTCATTTATTTTCTTAATCTGCTAGCTTTCTTTTCTTACTATGTCATCAAAACAGCCTTCTCCAAGGTTATTAATAACCTTATCTCTAAACTCATTAGGTGCTTCTATCTCTCATCTATGTGTCTCTTATCTCTGTGCCCTTCATTGAGCATAAGACTGAGTTGGTCCCTTCCTCCTTTCTCTTCCCCAGTGTTTCACTAGGTTTTTTCCCAGATATTTTTCTATACATACAATTTGAAAAACTGGTAATATACCATGTTTACCTAAAATTTTATATCCTGTTTAACACCTTGCATTTTCACTAAAACTTTAATGGCCATTAATTATATAAATATACCATAATCTTAGAAACCGTAAAAGAAATGCTCATTTTAGAAAACTTTGTGCCATAATACAGTATATTAAAATCATTTTGAAACCACATGCAAAGAAGTAGAATTGTTAGCAAAAGTTGTATGGTTTTAGCAATTTATAATTAAAAGAGTAATAATAGGCAATATTGAATATTACTGTAACGAACAAAGAAAACATGACATTAAATCTAGTCATTGGAACCTTTCTGTCTGTTTTCCCATCTAAGAAATAACAGAGTGATACTGTGTCTCTAAAGTTTCTGTGTAATATTCTGTCTTGTGAATTAGTGCATGGCGAGAAATCTGCATCAACTTGTTCTCCGAACTGCTGCAGTTTGTTGTGTGATGACTGTGACTATGATAGATTATAGTGTACATACATATTAAAATTAACTTAAAATTGCCCTGATCACTACTTTATTAAATTGTTTGTCATGTGGCATTAGTTTTCCTTCCAGTGGATCTAAATGCCTATCCTGTGAATTTTATCTAATTTTTGTATCTGTTTATATAAACGATAGAGCCTATAATTGCTACAGTAAATGATTTTTATTTGCATTTGAAAGCACCTCACACATAGTGATTAATAATTATGAAGCTATATTTTAATATACGAATGTGAATACAGAAGCGTACAGAGTTGTGAAAAAATTCATGTGTAGGTATCAATATATTCAACTAAATGTCCCCCCTGTTACACAGTCTGGTTTCAAATTAAAATTCTACCTCTTTTTTTTCCATTGAATTCAGCAGCTTGTGATACTTGATCCTTTTGCTTTGTGTGAATTGAGTCATTTGTTTTAGTAAAAATTGTGTATTATTAAAGAATTTAAAAAAAAATGTTTTGCTAGTGCATCCATTTAGTTAAGAATCGAGTCACACATTTTATTTACTTACACCCATCTGTACTTATTTTACCAGTAACATATTTGGTCTGCGACCTGTGGATTGTACAGACAGTGAAAATATGAAATCACTATTGCTGCTACCAGAGAAGAATGAATCATCATCAACTAGCCATTGCTCAGTAGTAAGTATGAATTTAGCTTTGGGGAATTTATACTTCTCATTGAAATTGGTTATGAAAGGAGGAGCATAATGGAAACTTTTCCAGTTAGCAAATTGCTTTCATTCGCTAAGCAATTATTGAGCACTTCCTGTGTATTAGATTTTGTGAATTTGAAGACATAATCAGAAAAAATGTATCAACAAATATTTATTGACCCTCCCCCATACTTTAGGTGGCATTCGTGCACAATAAATTTGACTGACAAGACTCTCATTCTCAAGGAGCTTACATTTAGTGAAAGACGGGCAAGAAACCAACTGTAAATATGTAAACTAATATAACTAAAACAATTCCAGGAACTTATAAATGAGTGCTTTGATGCAGATTTTGTAGAATGTAATCAAATGGAGGGTGATGGGCTCCAGAAGAGGCACTGCTTTAGCTGGTTCACTGAGGACAGCATTTAAAGAACTGATACTTGATTTGAAACCTGAATGGTGAAAGGAGGTAGTCAGGTGGATATCTGGAAGACAGGTGTTCCAAGCAGAAGGAACAGCAAGTGTATAAGCCCCTCAGTGGATGAGCTCGTCATACTTGAAGGTTAGATCATTATTGGTAGTGACCAGTGAGTGTCTAAGAGTACTGGGAAATATTGAAAGAATTTAAAGCAAGAGAATGACGTGATTTAATTTATGGTTTAGAAAGTTTACTCCAGCTGCTCCGTAATAAAGAGGCTGTAGGGTAGGGGTAAGAGTAGAAGTAGGGAGATTACTTGGGTCTGTTTCATTTAGACAGAATAGAGAGACCATTATGACATGGATTAAGGTAATAGCAGTGGAGATTATGAGAAGTAATGGGATTTAATATACATTTTTGAGTTAATGCTAACAGAATTTTCTGTTGGAATATCGATGAGGT